GTCTCCTGGGGAGCTCCCTCGTCGTCGGCTCGGCCCGGAGTGGGTGGGGAACCGGGCACCCGGGCTGAGCCTCAACGGCGTTTCCCGTTCTCGTTCGGCTTTCGCTCTCCCTCGTTTTGTCTTCAATCCGCCCTCATAACGCAAAAGACGAACTCGACACGAGAACGGCCCACGAAATCGCCCAAACGCCGCTCAGGTCCACCCCTGCCGGGCGCAACGCGGGCCAACTCGGCGGCGGTGGAGGAGGCCGTGCGGCGCGTCGCACGGCCCAGGCGTGGGGCCCCCTTCGGCGAGGCCGCGGCCGTCTCTGCGCGCCTCGCCTCGAGAGCGCCGCGCGGCTCGCGCGGCCCGGAGCCGCCGAGGGCCCCCGAGGGCCTCGAGGCCCACGGGCCCGTGGGCGCACCGTGCGACGGTCGGCACGCTTCTGTGATCGGCGGGCCTGTGCCAGCGCTCCCGCCCGAACGAGGAAGGGTACGCGAGCGGGGCCCTTGGCCCAGCGTTTCTCAGAAAGGCCCTGCTTCGAAGGATGGCCTCTTTTGAGCCGGCGCCGCGCACATTCATTCGTTCTTACAAATTACAAGAGTTTCGCGGATTGGGGGCAGTTCCTTTTCAAACTGTGGCTTTCGCCTCAGCGCCGCGCACATTCGTTTGAAGAATTCCATGAGCTTCGCGGACTGAGGGCTATTCCTTTCCAACATGAGGCTCTCGCCTCAGCGCCGCGCGCATTCATTTTAAATATTTGCAAGTGGCGGATTCTCATGGTGAAAATACCAGACATGGTGCTCTGGAATGACTCATGACGGTCATGGCGCAACAGTTGCGTTGATTTGCAGCGTTGAAGTCCCAGAAATGTTGTCTGGCACGATTTAGGACTGCCAGGACGTAACAATATCGGGTTGGCTCGTGGTGTTGAAGTCCTGGGAATGGTGTTTTGGCACGCTTCAACATGTTCACACAGTTGTCCCCAAACGGGGCAATTCCCTCAGTGGAAATGACCCCTTGTAGGGGCCAGTGAGGAGGGATCTCGGAGGGAGGGTGGATTCCAACATCATTGATGAGTCGTGGGTTTGCACTGGTCCTCCTGCTCCTCTTCCTCCTCCTCTTCCTGCTCCTCCTGCTCCTGCTCCTCCTTTTCCTCCTCCTCCTCCTCCTCCTCCTCCTCCTCCTCCTCCTCCTCCTCCCCTCCTCCCCCTCGTCGGCCCCGGCAACTCGCAAGCCCACAACGACGCCCGCGACGGCGACAGCGACGGCGACGGCGGCAACGGCAACGGCGACGGCGGCGGCGGCGGCGGCGGACTGGGGGACCGCGGGCGGCTTGGCCGGGCCGAGGGTCAGCTTCAGGCACGTGCAGCCCTCCTCTCTCTTGGCAAGCCTCTGCGGGCTGCGGGGGGAGACACGGCCGACCTCCTCCTCGTCCTCCCGCTCTCCCGATGTGCGCGAGGCCTCCAGTTCCTCGCCCTCTTCCTTCTCGTCCTCTTCGTCCTCTTCCTCCTCCTCCTCCTCCTCCTCCTCCTCCTCCTCCTCTTCCTCGTCCTCCTCTGATCCTCGGAGCATCTGGCGCAGCAGTCCAGCTCCCAAAAGCCGCACCACTTGCTGGGAAAGGGCGGAGAGGGGCGAAAGGGTGTGGACAAAGAAAGCGGCTCGCCAGGGAAGGAAACTGAGACCTGGCTACAGCGGCCTGGCGGGGCGGGCTGATTCCTCACAAACCGTTGCCTGGGGGGGAGAGTGGGCCTGCCAGCGACTGGCCAGCATCTTTGTTCCTGGGCCCTGTAGGGCATTCAGTGATCAGGTGCTGGGAGCGCGAGGATCCGAGGGCCCCGCATCCCCTGCACCACACGACGCCTCAAAGGCCGATCCACATGTGGTGAACGCGGTGGGCTAGCCTCGCGAGCTTAGGAACTCGCTGCAGGGCACCATGCGCAGTCCCGCCCGAGAGGCAGGCAGTCTTGCCCCCGCGGGTGGCACGACACAATCGATTGCTGGTCTTGCCATACTTACGGACGTCGTGACCGCTGGGGGCCTCCTCCATCATCTTCCTCTTCAACATCAAGAGGGTCCCCCTTCCCAGAGAGCCAACACAATTAAAGACTGCAACTGACCTAACAGCCTCGCCTGCCCAATAAAAGTAAACATAACATTTGCGGACCTTAGGATTGTGGGGACGGCAGCGGGACCAAGATCTGCAGATGGGGAACCACTTTCTGAATAGTTTTGCCCATGAAAGATGAGATTTGCTTGTCAGCCTGCTAGTATTGCCCCGTCCTATGTTCTCGCCTTTCTCGAAACTGAGCTTCCATGGCACATTGAAGGCCAGGCGCTCCAGACACTGGCCTGGCCCTGCTGCCAGACATCGAGGACGATGTGGCAATCAGAGCACGCAACGATCGGACCTGATCCCGCGAACTGGAGGGCCAGCAGGAACGCATGTATCTCCCCACATCACGCTTTCTGCACGGCGTGAGGGAGCGGACCGTAGCAGGAACATGTGATCTCGCTGTGC